GAGGGGAGTCTATTACGCCCAGCACAGCTGAAGGAATCTGCTTACATCACCTAATCAGTCCAGTTGCATATTTGCAATTTATTTAAACATTGAGTCTAAAAAACATCACCAAACCATTAACCCTCTAACAGGAACAGATTTAAAAACTCAAACTTTAATAAGTTTTACTTACCAGACCAAACCCAAAGTTAATGAAGTAATGAAGAACATAAAGCTTTTGGTGCTCACTGATTCCATGAGGAATTTCTGCTTTGGGGTGTTCATAATAGAAAGCAATTGCCACAATACCAGTCAAAACAGAGAGAAAAATGGCCAGGAGAATTTCCATCTTGCTGTGTTGGTAGGAGCCCGAGAAGGAACCAGCTGTGGCCTCCTTCTCCTTTTTCAGACTTTTGGATTTCTGAAGGTAAAGGCACAGGTGTTCTCGTCATAGCTCATAATCCAGCTTTTAAAAATGCCAGTAGGAAGATGAAAACATGTGGTAACCCGACTGTACAATTAGACAGTAACAATTAGTTGTGGGAGAGGCTTGCATAAGCCGTTTTCACATTTGCAGGAACAAGGCTGTGCCCATTACAGCAGAGCTAGGACTTGATGGATCATTGTAGTGGCAGGTTATGGGAAGACAAAAGCTTCTTCTCTGTTTTTTGATTACAGGCAAGTCTTTATTATTTGTGAGTTCCCATGCAGTATTTCTTGGTAATCATTTTCCAAGCTGCTCAGATTCTTGCTTTGTTGTGCTTCCATGCCTTTTTCATACTTTTATTGAAATCAAGGCTCAGTGTCACAGATGTGTTTCACCACCTGTGATGGCAGATTCTGGATGCTGCTGACATTGCACCTTTGAGTCTAAGGGAGCCAGAGGCAACTGCAGCCTGATCTGAGAGCTGCTCTTGCCTCATCCTCCTCAGTGGCTCTTCTCCTGCAGCAGCAGGTTTTTGTTTGGATGTTTATCTGCCTCTTGGTAGTGCTGCTGTCTCTATCTTCCCAGAAGATATCATGTGCAGATGTCATTCCAGGTAGAAATACGAGTCCAACTGATGAAAACAGACTTGAACTTCATGATGTCAGGGCTAGTGGCACTGGCCAGACACCAGCAGCCCACTCTTTTCTGTGGTGAGCTCTAGGATCTTCCTCTGGAGATAACATATTTTTCCATGCACAATTATAGTGATAAGATTTAACCTGAAGCAAAAAATATCTGTAAAGCACCGCTCACGTGATGTCACCTTTGGGAACTGTGTTTTTTAGCAGTCTGCTTAGCCTGTGAAGGCAGCAGGTTCTCATTCTGAAAAATCACAGTGTGGGTAAAATAAGTCTGTAAATTTTTTCTTAATTACTAATAAAATAATATAAGGGATGAGCTGACCTTGAATTGTATATATAATAAAATGAAACTAAAGACAGAGAACCCCAGGGCTTTAGCGTGCTTATTCCATTGACTATGACATTCCATGACCTGCAAAGGAAATGGCTCAGGCTTAATACCTGACTTCAGAAACTGTTTAGAATAAGCAGGATGGAGCTTCATTTTTGAGTCTGGTCTTTCTGAGAAGCTGCTCATTCCATGTCCTGCTCTTTCTGTTTCTTCTAAGCTGTTTCTTCATTTTATCCAACATCTCTTTTTTTGGATTTTCATTTCCCAATGTCCCCATGCCTCTCCCTCCCTTGCCAGAAGGTTATTCATATGCTAAGTAAAGTCAGATTCTTTTTTGATTATCCTTCTGGATAATGGCATTTCATGCCCATATTGATAAGGGATTTAGGTGAAAGGCACATTGCCTGGGAATTGGAACACTCTTGGGAAATGGCAGTGCACAGAGGGTTCAGCTTTCTTACAACTCAGGCAAGAGCATTGGGAAATACTGTTGCACAAAACACGATTGCAAGTCCCTTCTTCAGCATTTAATAGTGAAAGTAATTAATTGGCCTATACTAAACTCTGCTGTCCCAGTGGGTGAGGTGTGGTCTAAGTACATCTACCAGATTTGGCCCTTCTGGGGATCTAAGAATGCTCTTGACACCTGTGACAAGATCCTTTTTACTGGAGTTCTTACCACCTATAGTTCTGTGATCTAAACCTTTGTGGTGCCAATTCAGCCACACCCTAAATCTTTGTGGTGCCAATTCACCCACAGCTGGTAGGTCTTGACTCATTTGGGCACATTGGCAAGGTCTGGACTTCACAGCACCCCCAGGGGCTACACACAGAGACTGGATGTGCTGGAAGCTGTCAAAGAAACAAACTAGTTGGTTCTGAAATAATAATGTGCTTTTTCCTTTGGCCATGCTGTGTAAACTTAGTCTCAGCAATTCACAAGCTTGCTCAGGATGGAGAAAACCATTCCCTACATAATCGTTCAAATAAATGCTCTTTCTAGCCTCTGATAATTTTTCTTACCTTGTCTCTGCTCCTGTGAGATAAAACAGGGGACAGACCAGGCCAAAGCCCTATTTTCTCCTACACCAGGGACTCCCACTCTTATTAATTTCCAGTAAAAACTTAATGTCTGGGCCTAAAATCTTGTCATTCCTTGTTCTTTTTCTGTGATACGGGTGCACATGCAAGGGGAAAGACTGAGCCAGGTGTAGTAGATGTAAAACATTCCCTGGCAATAGAAGTCACTGTAAATGGAAGCCTGTACTGGGATACTGGGAAACATTCCAGAAAAAGTGTTGTGCAACCCAAGAAGCTCCTTTTGGGTTCTGCAGAGCAGGAGAACCATCTGGTGCTGGAAGCCTGAGCTTGAACTGAAGCTGGGCTTGCAGTCCTCGCTCTCTGGCTGCATAATTCCTTCAGGAATGACTTTGGTGTCCATAATTCTGTAGGTAGCACTGAGTGTCATTATGTTTCATACTTGATTTTTTATTTTTTTATATTTTGTACATGAAAATGTCATGCTTTGGGGACTATAAGAAGGTCTTCAAACATTCTATCTTAGCAGTACAAAGCTGATCTGTAATTAATTAAATTAAAGCATAGGAAGTTCCATAGAGACAGATCATGTGATTTCTTAAGGTTTAGAAAATCTGGGAGTCATGATTAAAAAAGAATACATTATTTCAGCACTTGCTGTTCTCTGCTTACCCATCTGCACTCAATGGTTATAATCCAAAATTAAAGAGAACTGCATGTTCAAGAGAACTAATAATGCTGCTGCCATATTATAAAGCTAAATTTGTTATTATTTGTAGTAAATTAAAGACCAATGGATAAATCTCAGGAGCAGATCAGTGTCAAGTTTGGACATTGACCCATAAATGAGGCATAATTCCAGAGACTGATAGCGGGGAGAAAACAAGTATTGAGTGGCTGAACTGACAAGCAGTATAACGCTGCACTGAACTGTGTGTAAAATAGCATGAGCTCATCTGTCACATCTCATAACTTAAAAACTACAAGGTGGAACTGTACAGACATCCCTAGTTCTGGAACTTGCCAACTTTCTCCAACTTCTCCAATATCATTAAACTTCTTGCAGTGCTTTTATAGCAGATACAGACTGTTGGCTCAGCTTCAGCTACTAATGTGTGAGCTGGTAACCCAACCTTTGTCTTCATAATCAAAGCAGATCCTGAAGTCCTCAAAGAGTGGAACATTTGGAACTATCACATTACTTACCCATGGAAGCATTTCTTTGCTTGAAGAGCAAATTGCCTGCAACAGGAAAAATGAAACAAATAAACTCTCTGTTGTGTCAACAGAGTGTGAAGAAATGTAAATTCATTTTGCTGAGAGGGACTGGAGAACGAGAACCTGTGAGCAGTGACTTGTTGCTGCAGAGATGTGAAGCAGCTCACCTGTCACCAGCATTCATTAACATGGTGACAATATGGAACATTAATAAGTCTTCTTCCTACTCACAGTTTGCCTGGCAGAGAGTAGACATGTACTAACCTCTTTCCACGGATATTATAAAAGCAAGGTGGTTGCACAACAATTAAACATTTTACAATTCCTAGGCATTTTATGCCAAGCTATTTTGTTATGTGTGTATGTTATGTAATGGCAATTATTTTTGGCATGTGTTTAGCAAGGGTGGATCTCTCCTAATAAGCAATATGACAATTACAGCAAGATAACAATTTACCTCAGATGTTTCTTTGGCTTTGGGTATCCATAGAAATTATTTGGCAGTTCCATGCTACTTACATCCTTTCTCCCCAGAAGCCAGGTAAGCTGAATACGATCAAATTCTGCTCAGAAAGGAACTTTATAGAATATAATTTAGAGGATATTCAGTTATTTTGGAGCGGCTCTCCCTCACTTCATCTCTGTTGCAGTCTCAGGTACCTCCTGGTACCCATCTCATGCACCATATGAACTGTACCAACCAGCCTGTCCCCCATTTCCCTTTAAAATCAGGTCTGTAAGTACACCCAATTCCTTCCTTCAGATTTTAAACACAAATGCAAAGCTCCTGTTTGTCTGTACAGACACTCTGATGGTAATTACTCATCCCTGAAGTAGGGAAGGAATCTCCATTCCCCAGAGGTATTGCCATGCTGATTTTGGGGGCACTAGCGTGTGCACATGGCTAATTATTCACACACTGCATGGGTTTTTAACTTACACATTTAGAATACTTTTTTTGTTACTATGAGTTTTTATTCTTTAACATATGAATAGCCTTGATCCTAATGGCCAAATAGCTTGTAAATACTTAATTGAATAATTTAATTGAATCACTCTGTATTGTAAATGCAGGCGAACCCAATGGGAAGAAATGATGATGTCTGACTCAATTCAGAAGGCTGAATTATTTCTTTTATTATAAATATGCTGAAATACATTAATATACTATATAAAAGGAGGATACTAAAACTATATACTACTTTCTCTAACCCAACTCATGACCCTCTCTGAGAGTCCAGCCCCAGGTGGGTTGGATTGGCCATCAGGCTCAAACAATCCTCACCAGAATCCAACCAAGCACTCACTCCAGGTAAACAATTCTCCAAACACATTCCACATAGGAAAAACAAGGAGCAGAAATAGAAATTGTTTTCTCTTTCATTTCTCTCTGTGCACCTCTATGAAAAATCCTGAGAGGGAGAGAAATGTGCTTGCCACAACACTCTTTCTAAATACCAGTGCACTGTATGCAAGAAAATGTTTTAATAGCCTTTTATAAAGTCTACGGCATGGTTCATTATAATGTTTGATGATGGGAAAGAGAAGATACCATATCCAAAAAATCCCAGTGCACTGTGAAAGCCTTTTTCCACGTGGTGCCACGTCACACGTACGTTGTTGTCCTCTAAGCGTTTCTTGTACAACAGCCCTTCATCCCTGAGCACATCATGCTCACAGGTGACAATGCAGGTGTCAGGGACACCACAAACCACAGCATCCTCTGCCAGCAGCGGGGAGACCCGGGGCTCAAACAGCTCTTGCACTTCTTGGTGGACTTGAGGTGAAAACAAAGCGGGGAGTGGTGGTTTATAGCCCACTTTAAACGCATCCGGAATAAGATCTGGATTTATCCATTTCCTATATTTCGAATTTATACTCTCAGGAACATGAGAACCAGCCAGAATTGGTTCCTTCAGGGAGCAATCCTTATTCAGGTATTTGAGAATATATCTGACTGCGCGCTCCCGGGTCAGGAAGGCAACGGCAGCATTTTTCTGGTGAGATGGCAGATTGAAGTTCAATGCTTGGAGATATGGATAGATCAGCACCTGGGCACGAATCTTTGGGATATCTGTCCTGTGCCCTAGTTCTTGGCAAACAGTGGCAGTGAATGTGCCCCCTACACTGTCCCCACAAACAATAATCCGAGCGGGGTCCACCCCGTAGGTCTCTGCAGTCTTCAGGAAGTGCTGGGTAGCAGTGAGACATTCCAGAGTTTGGGCTGGATACTTCTGCTCAGGTGCTAAATGATACCTGAGAGGTAGAAAAGGTGTTACACATTCTGAGTGTCTCATCTGAAATATAGTCCATGCAAAAACTCCTCCAAACCAATATTAATTACATCATTAATTGTATCTCATTTAAAGTTTTTACATGCTGAAGCATGTGGTAATCACATATCCTCTGGACAGCAAGAGAGAGAGCTCTCCCAGGATTTCCCTAAGAAGCTGTGAGAAGATCAGAAAAAAGAATGATAAGCAATTCTTATCTCCACTTGCTGCACCTGTTGTTGTTGTGCACATGTGCAATGTGTTGTGGAGATTTCTTTACCAAAGGGTGATTTCTTAATTGGCCACTGGTGATGGTGTTTGGATTTCAATTAACCAGTCTGGTCTATCTGTACTGGACTGTTTGCAAGAGCAATGAGTGTTTTCTTAATAGAGTATAGAATAGAATAGTATAATATAATATGGTGCAATAAAGTGATTGATCAGCCTTCTCCAATCATGGAGACAATGCTAATTATTACCCCTGCTATGATAGAAGCAAATCAGAACAACATTTCCTTCCTTTGCTTCTCAAAACCAATTCCTTCAAATTAAAAAAAAAATCCCTTAATAACAAACCTTTTCATGGAAGAATTTGTTGGAAATTAAGGTTTCTTTATACCATCATGTATTTTCCATAATCAAAACATCTTTGTAGGAAACAGTGGTCCATGCTGGTTTTAAAAAATACTAAATTTTAGATTCATTATTTACTCTCTAAAATCATCCCAGATTATTTTAAATAAAAATATCAAATATTAAAATATGTACTATATTTTAATATAATAAAATATTAAAATATTAAAATCTGATACTTGGCTTATAATTTCTTATTATCAAAGGTAATGATTTCTGTGGTAATGGTGATGTACAATAAACAAACCTGTAACTCTAACCCTGGCTCAGGTATTTCCATTGCCATTCCATATACATAACAGCAATGTGGGAAAGACAGCACAAGAGCTCAGTTTCTTTTCTTATATTCAAAGAAATCTAAGTTCAGGGGTGTGTGGGAAGCAGGGGGAAAGCAGCAGAGTTCTCTAATTCTGGGATTAGCACGGGTTGAATTTCACTTACCCAACAGAAACAACCACTGAATCAGATTTCCTGGCTAGGTACCGGCAGATCCTTTCATAAGTTCCTGAAGCACAAATGTTGTTGATGTAATAAATATCTTAGATAACTTCAGTCAATATTGTTCCTTATATTTTTATTACATATTACCATAACATCTTGTCAGCTCCTTGCCTGTTTAGTGAGTACCCAGGTTTTCTTTAGGATAAAAATAATCTAGACTTTTGGTCATCAGGACTTGCTGTGTAATTCATACATTTAGATCATTGATCTGTGTGTAACATAAGGAATTATTATGATTATTACTATTAGAGAATGGGCAGTGGTTTTAAACTGAAAGACGATAGAATTTGTTTCCATGTAAAGAACATATTTTTATTATGAGTGTGGTGAGGCCCAGGCACAGGGTGCCCAGAGAAGCTGTGGCTGTCCCATCCCTGAAAGTGTCCAAGGCCAGGATTGATGGGGCTTGGAGCAACCTGGGATAGTGGAAGGTGTCCCTGCCCATGGCAGGAGGTGGAAGAAGATTTGGGTGGAAGGTCACTTCCACGCAAACCATTTCATTATCCTAATGGTTCTATGATAAAGAGTGTTATATCCTACTAATATTTAATTATTTAATAATAATTAAATAAATATTATTTAATTATTAAATAATAATTATTTAATAATAATTTAAATACTTTAAAAATAATTTAAGTAAGTGCAGATTAGAGAGTTTAAAAAAATAAAAATAAGCACTGAGTGCTTCCTATCTTCAGTCTCTCAGACTAAGCTTCAGTCACTTCTTAAGGTCAGGAATTTCTAAAAACAGGGGCAGTTAAAAAAGCTAAATAGTCGCATTTTTTCTTTCAGTTCCTTACTGAAGCTCCCGAAAATGCCACATCCTCCGTGGATGAAGATGACTCCTCTCCGTTTGCTTGCAGATGGTTCCTTTGGGAGGTAAATCCTCACGGGCACCCCATCAAAATGCAGATCCTTAATGAAGAGCTGGAAATCCCAGCACGCTGGGAGTCCATCCGTGATCAGCCTGATAAGGATGTGCTCCTCCACGAGACCCAAGTGGTTTAAACTCTTTGCCTAGATAGGTAAAACAGGAAAAATGAGAAATTACTATAGGGAATACAAGTCTTCCCACTTTGTAAAGGCCACAAGCTACTTTTTCCTACACTGTCTTTAGCATAATTGGGTTGGTTATTTGGTAGTTTTTAGGATTCCCACAAGTAACTGCCTTTGGGATTTTGGTTAAGAACATTAACATTTACATCTTCATGATTGCAGGAAGAATGTTGTAATACTTGTTCCATTAAATGTTTTATATAAATACCTTCTAGTTCCTGTGATCTGGATTTACCACAAGTAAGAACAGGCATTTGCTCAGGTGTGGAAGCTGGGAGGCCTGAGGCTCCTTTCCTAACAAGCAAAGAGAAAGAGGCATTTCTTGGGGCTGGTTCCAATTCTGGGTGTGTTAAATCATGCTCTGGAGGTACCTTCATCTCCAGGATAAACTGTACTTCAGATGCCTCACTTAAAATATTTAAGGTTAGGTGAGATGAAACTGTTCCTCTCATGACAGGATTATCATAGTGGGGGAAAAAAACCACAGGCCAGTGTGTGGGCAGGACTGGCTGATTGAATGGGTCATCTCCATCACCTCCCTGCCATGGGGCCATGAGCACAAGCTGTAAGAAAACCATTGTGTTTGTGATCATTACTGTGATCATTGCTGGCCCAAGCGAGGCACTGATGAAAATGGTTCTGAATCTTACCTCCTCCTCCATCAGTGAAACCACTGCCTTTTGCAAGATCTCACAGCTACTCATGAATGACCCTGCAGTCAGTTTTTACATCTAATCAGCAAAAAAAATCAAATCTTCTGAAGACAAGCAAGGTTTCTTAAATGGCCTTATCCAAGGCTGGTCAACTGCTGATAATTAAGACAGTCTAAAGGTCACACTGAAATCCTCCTTTGAACACATGCTGTAATGAATGTATTTCCTGCTAGAACAACATTTCCCTTCCTATTACACAGTGACCTAAATGCTGTTCTGGACTACTGCTAATTCATTCTTCTGTAATGATCACAGTCATCACAAGCCATTTGCAAATTGTGTTGTTGTCTCTTAGCCACAGAAGTCTCTGTATGAATTCCTTACAAACTGAAGACCAGCTCTGCTTGTGTAAATTGTATTTACACAATCACAGATTCCTTCTTCCTAATAATCTAAACCAGTCAGCAACACACAAGTTGGGTGAGGAGTAATAAAAGAAATCACCATGAGGCATAGAAGAGGGAGCAAATCAGTTAGAAACAAAGATGGGGATCCAGAGATTATCTGGAAGTTTTTCATAACCCTCTGCCACCAATGCCAGGAGTGCTTGGGGTAGTTTAAGAGACAAATGGCTGGCCACAGTTCCTGCCTTGCATTTGAAAAAGCACATTTTAAGGTATCATGGCAAAGTGAAAACTACTGTAAAACCCAGTGCAATCGTGGCAGAAACCACAGGGTGAATTTAATCTTATTTGCCATTTAATCTTATTTGAGTTTTCTAACATCCTTGAGGTTTTTTAGGGCTTTCAGATGACTGCAATATATACGATAAACTTGTTATCAAAGCATCCTAGCTAAATATCCTCTTTCCTTGCCTTGTTTAGGAGTTCCTGACATCACAGAGGCATCTCCAAATTCAGGGAAAACACCATCATGAAGGAGAAGAGGGAATTTGGTATGTACTCCATCGAGAAACTTCTTAATAGTTAGGAAATGCTTCAGAACCTATAGCAATACATTCAAAACATAAAAGATTTTACTGTTTCTAGACAGATGTGATCAGTGTTAGTAGGTGAATTATATTACATAAACCAGGCCCTAAGATGTTAATATGTGTATGAAAAAGAGCATGTCAGCTTTTTTTGTGAAACATGGTCTTCAAAAAACTATTTGCTGGAACACCTAAATTCTGACACAAACTGGCTTTTTATGTGGAAGATCACATGGGGACCAGATTTTTACTTTAAAATAATTACAAAATCACATACCAAAAGCAGCAAAAGTAAATTTGAGCTTCATGGACTTTAGGACTACATCAGACAGTCTTTCTGTCAGTCACTCTGAAGTGTGCTTTTCCAACCACAATAAAAAGCTTCATATCACAGTGCAATATGCACAGTTAGTCTGAACAGAGATCTGAGTAGTTTAAAACAAAAGCCAGGAGGTTTCCTCTCATCTCTTCCATTTTACATGGTCACTGATCTCTTCATGACAGGGGATGTGGACAGATGCAGCAGGAGCATCATTTATTGCACCTTCTGGTTGAAGGTACACACTTACCTGGTGCTGCAGCTTTCCTAAGCCATTGCAAGTAGGGTGGAAGAAGAGAGGAAAAGACTGTCTTGTATTGTGGAAAAAGAGGTTTTCACAGGAGCATACAGTACAGGCACATCACTGGCCCAGTGGTGGCACAAGAAGAGCAGCATTCATCAGGATGAGCAGGATAAGTTAATTGCACACGTGTCATACACAAAGCATTGTGCACTTGAAAAGAAGCCTGTGAGTGCTCCTTGGAGCAAAAACATAAACCAGGAATGCACCCAAAGTACCAGTAGATGCCTAACAGCTTTTGAAAGAAAAATAGGTGATTGGATTGATTCAATGGATAGCAAGTGGTGAAATGCACCTTAACAACTATTCAGAACAAGGCTGCTGAATTCAGGGAACATATTATCAGTGAAGAGAGCATATCAACTTATTCCATAACAGACACTTAAAAGCTGTATAAACGGGTTAAAAGTATCACCTGAAAGAATCTTTTCACCTACCAAATAGCGAAATTAGAATTTAACAACATTGTCCTATTATAATGTTACAGTCATATTAAGTTTATAGATAACATAACACAAAGAGCAGTGTGAGATATGCAAAGAGAGCAGCCTCTTCTTTCATGACAGACAAGGCAGAAAAGTACCACTGGAGAATCAGGGACAACCACTAGATTTGGTTGCTGTCTAAGTTCAAGCAACTCACTGAAGTCTTTAATAGATTGTAATGGCCCAAATCACCTCTCAGGATGAGGGCCCAAGTTCCCATGCTCTTTCTCTATAATTGAGGATTAGAGAATTGAGCTGAGCTTCATACAAACATCAAAGAAACCACTCTGATTTTCCTGCAGGCTTTCTTTTGACATGTTACATGCCAGACTTGACAGGTCTTAGGCTGCTCCTACAGACTCCAATTGCCAACTTTGAGAGCTTTTTGGGCAAAAAGCTGTTTCTTTCTGTAATGGCAAAGCTCACAGCAGTGTGAGTCTGGCTTACAGGTACTTAGATAATAGGTGATAACAGGCCTAAACCTGCTTTGGCAGGAGGTTCAGTTAGATAACTTCTGGAGGTGTCTTCCAACCTACCTGATTCTATGGTATTTAACTAGAGCTCTGTAATTCACTCACTGAAGAATAAAAACAGAAACAATGGTAAGAAAATTACTGCAAATAGCTCCGAATTTAGGAAATTGCCTTAGATATATCAAAGTGCATTTAGACATAGCAATTTGGGTTATTATTATTCATGTAAATTATGAACAGCCCTCCTGTCATCCACAGGACTAGTCATTTCATTATGGAGATACACAATTGCAGCATAAGAATGGATAGCTCAGTATTGAAAGAACTCACCTCATCCTGGCTGCTTTATATATGGTAATAGAAACCAAATCAACCTTTGGTCTTTAAATCTGTGTGCTTCCCATTATGTGTAGTTGCAGTATTTAGATGGATATCTTCAGACTCAGGTCTTTCCTTTTCTGAAAATCCCAGTATCCCAGATAAACTCACCAGAATTTCTATCAGAGCGTATATATGGAGATAAAGGCGGAGTTTTGCTGGCTGGTCAATATCAGAAGGAATCTCTCCCTTGAAGAAATTATGATCAGTTGCAATTAGAACCAGCAATACAAAAGCACTTAAAATTCCCGCTATTAAAACCAGAATATAATAGGATCCCATTGTTCTTTGGGAATGATTAGGCACTGTTTGATCTGATCCTGTCAGTATTTATATCCTCCAGACTGATTCCACAGAGAAGTGATTTGCATATCAAATTCCCCCTCCTTTTCCCTTTAGGCGGGGCTGACAGGTGCTGGAAGCCAGCAAACATCCTGCTGTGACAACTGCACTTGGCATGAGCCGAGCTCACACACGGCACAGTCACTTCCAGGAAACACCTTTCTTTTCTACCCTACAAAATTGCAAATGGGTTTATTTTTTGTTGGATTTATGGGCCTGAAAAGCTCTCTGGGATGTTTTACAAGTGTACCAGTGAGTGTCTCAGAGCCTGTGGAAGAGTGGCCGTGCTGGACTCCAGTCTCCATGGTCAGAAATTGTAGTGGTTCTGCTCTTGGAATAGGTGTGAAGGATGACTCCAAGGCTTTTTGCTTAGTGCTGATCTGTTCCTCTGCTCACTTGCTGAGGCAGACAGCTGGCCAGGACAGTTAGAACAGGCATTCTGAACTCAGTCTCAAGGGATTTTGCTTTTGGAGATCCACATAGACCTCTCAGTTATTTGCCAGCCTGAGTGTGCAGCAAGGGGCTCTGGGCTCAGCAATGGTGCCGTGCTAGCACAGGGAAACTTCTCCTGGACTTGGAGAATTTTGGCCCTAACCCTCTGTACTGATTCTTTCTAAAGAAAAGATTTTGATATCTTTACAACTCCATATTTTGCTGTGTTTTCCAAGCCGACTCTGTTATCCATGGTTGTAATTCAGGTGTGATCAGAGCATATGGTGTCCAAAAGCTTGTGCCAAAGGAGGTGAAGACAGCGCAGGAATGAGTGACCAAGTGTAATTTTGTGTATTTCTGTCCACCCTGGGACTGGACAAAACTTATTTGGGTAACATTTAAAAGCAAACAAGCATTAGCTCAGCTTGACATAAGCAATACAACCTCTGCTTATCCTCTGAACACTGAAACATTTCTTTATCCCCACTAGTCTCCCCAATACTTCATTTAAAAACCCTTATAAAAGCTTGTAATCATGGCCATGGAGAGAAGTACTCCTTTTTATGAGCCACAGGATTCTGCAACTGGCTAACCAACCTGTAGTGTACTCCCACAGAGACATCTTCACTGGAAAAAAAGGTGAATCCTTTCTAAGTTTTCTTGCACACTCTAAAAAAGCAGACAAAATATATCTGCTTAGAAAAATCCCATTTATACAAAATATGCATCACAGCAAAGAGCAAGAAACTTCATTGTGAAATAGTCGGTGGGGTAAAAAAGTATTTTGCTGTGTGCAATGAGTAAACAAGTCATAAGAGATAAAATACCTGATGATGAGTGACCAGACTGGATTCTTAAGAGAATCAGTCTAATCCTTAACTTTAGTTGGGGCCAGCAAATACAGATGATTAAATGATGTGGCTTAAAATTAAGACAGATAAATAGATAGATAAATATGTATGTATGTATGTATGTATGTATGTATGTATGTATGGATAGATAGATAGATAGATAGATAGATAGATAGATAGATAGATAGATAGATAAAAAAGGTGGATAATGAAATCCATTAATAACATGGAATTATCAGCTTAACTCAGCAGGCCTGGACCCTGTTATCACAGTCATTTTCCCAATTCTCATGCAAATGAACTGACTAAGCTGTCAGTGAGGACACCACTGCTGAGATGTAGGACACTTCACTGAACCCTTCCCAACCCTACTTCATCCAGATTTGTGGGGTTACAGTAACTGGATTGATTTAAAAAAAAACAAAACAACATAAACTAAAGCAAAAATTAAAGCTACTTTTATATTCTGTGAGGTAATATCTAGGTTGGGGTTTATTGATTTTAGTGTGATCTTATTTCCCCACATCAATTCATACACCTGACCTATCCTAGCCTCCCAATCAAAATTGTTTGCCTTTGACACCACCATTCTCTTCCTAACATTCCTCTTTTTTTTTGACATCCTTTGTAAAACTGTAAGGTTTGAAGAAACTTCAGACAGTCAGAGGCCCAGAATTATTTTACCTCAGTACATATTAGTGAACCTCTCCCTCTGAAAAGACATTTTAAAAAGACATTGTTAGAAGGAATTCAGGGAATATTTTATCCTGAGATTTCCTTTCTAAGGTAGTTTACAAGTTTCCAGTGCAAACTTGTCACAGGCATTAGTTTGCTGTTCAAACTAATGTGTCAAAATTGATGTCACGTTGGTTTATTAGGATTTCAGGACTTTTCTCTAATTTTAAGAGCCACAAAGACATAATTCTTCTGTTTCCCCTGTTCCTTGTATGTCTTAGAAGTTTTGTCAGGACTGAGGAGTTAGTCAGAAGGAATTGGTAAATATTCACTGGCCTAAGGGTGGGTAAAGGCACCAAAGAGAAGGTAAAATGAGTCAGTTAACAAACATGATCACTCCATTCCTGCTCACATGGGGTATTTTTGCATTGTTCTCTCTTGAAGCAGCCTAAGATATTGAGAGATCTGGCTTCTAATCACAGATAGGTGAGGAAAACCAAGCACAGTTACAACAAATGACAAATTCTAACCTAATGAAAACAACTCAGCAAGTACCACATAGGTGAGATTGCATCCCTCTGAATTCTAGAGAGCCCCTGTGAGCACCGTGTAAACTTCTGCTTTTAAAGACAATTATTTTTACAGCTGAATCTACAAAGGGATGTTACCTAGAATTTAGAATTACTCAATAAGACATTTTTATATCTTTACTCGTGCCACTGCTTTGTTGTAAGACCCTGGGAAAGCCCTAAGACATCAAAATGCAGCTTTTTGTAAAAGGCCTGATGCAGTCTTTGCTGTCAGGCTGGATGTTAACCAGAATCCCAGTTCCTTTGAGCTTAGTCCACGGCAGAACTTAGAAGGCAACAGTATCAGACTCTTAAGAGCATATAGAAGGACAGTGTGAAATCACAGAACCACTGGGACACATTTCAAATGGAAAATGTGAACACAAGGGAAGAATGAAATCAAGAAGCACAAAAATTTAGCTTTTGATTTATCCAAATCTGACAGCAGTACTTCATCTAACAAAAAACAGATCAGCTTGGCAAAAAGTTTTCCTTTTTTAAAGGAGGCTTAAGTTTTATTCTGTGATCGTGATAGATTATCTATGATCAAAAACCCTGCACTGATGTAAAAAAATTTGTATTACTTGAGATTGCAGTCACACAGCCTTTCTATTGTGGAACTGCTGCTCTGTGTTCCCAGGTTTGTATTATATATATCTGAGTGGGGTTTTTTAAGTTGAAAACACAGAATTGTTAGCCCAAATGGCTTTCAGACGTGCCTCAAGCATAGTTTTAATTTCCAGCTCATTTTCCTTTCAAAAGTTCTTGCAGTTTAGCAACTCATTTGTACAAACAGCCTTCCAAGGCTGGTGGAAACTTGGCTGCAAAGGCTCTATGAGCACAGTTCTGCCTATAAATACAGATGCAACATGAACTGTGAGCATTCAGACCCTGCCTGAGCCTCTTCACAGATCCAGGTAACATCTTTCTGCAAAAAATGGAGCTTTGTCTTGTAAGTGATGTGTACAGAGAGTGTATCAACTTGTTTTGGAGGTAAATGTGCTTTTCACTGCTGTTTTTTCCTTCAAGCCACCACAAGTCAGAAAAAATCAGACTCTTATTGAGAATATGAGTAAATCTAAACTAAGTACAGTCCAACAGCTACACAAACTCAGAAATCTAAACCAACAAATGGAAGCCAAAACTGGCTTGAATTACCACTGAAATACATGACATAGAATCACAGAATATCCCAAGCTGGAACACATCCATAAGGATGATCAAAGTTCAACTCCTGGCCCTGCACAGGACCACCCCAAGAACCCCACTGTGTGCCAGACACCCTGACTGCCTTCTTGCCCTCGTAAACTGGAATAAACAGATACCAGTGCCGTGAAAATGGCTTTAAAAACGTTGTTGTGTTGGTTGTTTTTTCAGTTTATGCTTTGTTGTGAGTGTCTGTGTAGGAAAACAACTGCTGAAAATGCAAAATGAATTGTGAAGATGATGCAATTTCACAGAATTAAGAGGCCTGCCTACAGAATGTTTCAGGGCACTGGTTTAGGACTTCTGAGTGGAAACATGGATGGGATTCAGTTTGGGACAACTTGGGAGTGATGATTAGAGAGAACAGCTGTGATATGTGCTGAGTGTCCCTTTGTACCAGCAGTATTGAAAACACCTTTAATAATCAGCCCTATATGAAAGTGTAGTTTAGGGAGTCTCACTGACAGAGATGGACTTTGTGAGTAAAAGTTCATGATGGTTTTGTAAAGGTGACATTTTGCAAAAAGACCTCTTGCCAAGAAAGAGTGCAGTACAAAAATCAAGTTGTACAAAAATCAGGTGAAATTCCGGAATATTCCTTTTTTTTTTTTTTTTTCCTTTTCAGAGCAGAACTGCAATTAAAAAGGACAATACCTCTAAAGTTCTAATGCTCTCACATATAGTATGTGTAGTATTTAAAGCTATTTGACTTTTTGGTTGAATTACATGAATTTTAAAATAACTTGCATATAGTTTTTATTTACTACATGCAAGATGCGCCAACTTCAGTTTTACTATAAATCTGCTTTTGCTTCTTGTTCTTGTAGGTTTGTACAATGTAGCATCTAATAGTTTTCACTGCTTCAAGGTAAATCTAAGCAGTAAAGAAGTAAAATAGTTCATACTTCAATGAAATTTGAAGAGCAGGTTAGGAAAATGTTATATAGCTAGAATTGGTTTTAACTCCCAATCCAAATTTGGTAGCAACTTTGTACATAGATCAAAATCTAATAATGAATAAAAAAATCTATTCAAACACATACTTAGATTATTATTCAAGCTGGAAATAGACACATGAAATAAATGCTCACAAGATTATTCCATTCCCCCTGGCTTCAAAGGACCTATAAAAGTTTTGCAATAATAATTAATTTTCTTTTAAATTTAAACAAGTTAACTCTGCAATACTGTTGAGTTTTCTATTTTAAATGTGTCTGTGGTGCCTTAAGCACAAAGAGACTGAACTCAGGAATAAAAAAACCAAATATACTGCGATGGAGTTCATATCCTTTCATTTTCAACATTTATTTCCGTACCAGAAAGTTGTTATATTTGTTCCCAGTCCAGACACTGAGTCATTCCTGTCTAAGCCAGACACTGCATTCTCTGGGTAATTTCTCTCTCCCCTCCAGAGCTGTTGGACTGAGAGGAAAATTGTAATGCCAGGTGCCTCCCCGAGCTGCATTTCTAGAGAAATTACTGTAAAAACACAGCAAGGTGCTAAATGCTGCCAGCAGGCCATGGAAATTCTCTGGTTGTTTCAGATGCAGAGGAGTAAGGGAACACTCACTGATTTTGACAGTGTGTACAGACAGTTTCCAGTTAGGATGCTTCATCTTCTCCTCAAAACCCTCTCTCCTGACACTATGATTATGCAGTGAAGGTCATATGGCTTATTTCATATGAGGTAACCTGCCAGTTAAAGGTAAAAATTGGGCAAGTTTCTCTTCTCAATTTTATTTCCTTTTTTCCTTCCCTTAAAATTTTGCGGAACTTTTAACAGAGCTGAAATTCAAGGATTTAGGTATTTTTTATATTTTTTATTTAAAAATTCTATGTGTGATATAGCTGTTCAATGTGGGGGGGCACCAGAAACTTGGCTGCCCTTCTTTTTCCCAACAAAAAACCCTCAACAGTGTTCCCACATGGCCACTTTGAATGCCTGCTTTCAAAAAATACCTGTTTGATTCCAAAGAAGAAAAGTGAGTTCATTTTTAAAGGGATTGGGCATCCAAACTCACCTCTATTTCACAGATGCTTAGGTTTAAATGTCCATTGAGGTGGTGTTTTAGTAACTAGAGATGTGAAGAAGTTTGAGCATGTTTTTAAGTGTAGTTTTCCCTTAATTCCAGTGTTTACCTCTAGATGGCTTCCCAGGATTGCACATCTGGCTCCAGACCTGCGTGACCTTGTGGACTGGATTCTCGTTGATGAATCTTAGTGGTACCTGCAGATATAAACCCCAATTTCTTTCCAGCCCAGCTGTGAAGACAACACCGTGAGGTTTGACATCCTTGAGATCTTTTGATATCCTCAAAGCTTTGCATTTTAGGTTAATTCTGATTGCTGCCACAGCTCCTGCTGGGCATGAAGAAAAAAGCCTTCTCAGAAAAAGTTAATCTGTATAACTGAAATTGTAATTTACCTGTCTAATGCTTGACAGTGCAAACAGCCAGGGACCCGGGGGAGCTGCTGTAATGCACTCTGCCCTCTCCCCTATTACAGCAGAGTTTGAAGTTCTGTGGAGACCTTCTGGGTATGCCCTTATCACTGGACAAAAAAATTGTGTTGGAAGGAAGAAATTTTGTCTTGGAAGTCTTTTTTGAAGGGTGAGTCTCCCACTGTCATTCCCAGCCTGCCTTTTAAAGTGCCCACTGCTAAATATCCAGTTTTCAGCAATGCATGGAAAATCCATCAGGTATTGTGTTATCCAGAAAAACACTGCTCCAGCAGTAGTAGATATTAATGATTATCAGCTAGGCTGGGTTCAGCAGATAATTCAGGGCTGCAAGCAGCTTTGCCCTTGCACACACCAGCTGATTTTGGGCGAGCTGTGGCACAGATGGCTGCCTTGACCTCAGCCTTAGGCCTGGTTCTTCCTGCACCTGCTCGTCCCTGGGCTCAGGTGAGAGCACCTTTGGGTGCTGCAGGTGAGGGAGGAGCAGGGGCTGGTGACACATGGAGCACTTTGGGTCCTGCAGAGAGCCCAGCGTGGCACGAGCCCAGCGTGGCACGTGTGAGACAGCCCAGGGCAACACGGAGCAAATCCAGCATGGCATGAGCCCAGCATGGCATGAGCCCAGCATGCCCACAGCAAGCCCAGTGTGCCTCCAGCTGGCCCAGTGTGCCTCCAGCTGGCCCAGTGTGCCCACAGTTTGCCCCCCAGGCCCACAGCAGGCCCAGCATGCCCGCTGTTTGCCCCCCATGCCCGCAGCTGGCCCGGGGTACCTGCAGGATGCCCAGGTTACCCACAGTTGACCCAGCATATCTGCAGCAAACCCAGGGTGCCCACAGCAAGCCCAGGGTCTCAGCAGGTGACCCAGGGTGCCTCCAGCTAGCCCAGGGTGCTCACAGCTGGCCCAGAGGGGTTTTAGGGAGCCCAGGGCACCTGCAGCAAACCCAGTGTGCCCACAGCAAGCCCAGGGTGCCCACAGCAAGCCCGGGATGCCTGCAGGTGACCCAGGGTGCCTCCAGCTAGCCCAGGGTGCCCACAGCTGGCCCAGGGTGCTTGCACCAAGCCAAGTGTGCCCACAGCAAGTCCACGGTGTCTGCAGCAAGCCCGGGGTGCCCACAGCTGGCCCGGGGTGCCCGCAGGTAGCCCAGCACGGCCCCAGGTAGCCCAACCAGCTCCAGGTGGCCCAGCACGGCCCCAGGTAGCCCAACCGGACCCAGGTAGCCCAGCACGGCCCCGGTAGCCCAGCACGGCCCCAGGTAGCCCAACCGGCCCCAGGTGACCCAGCTCGGCCCCAGGTAGCCCAGCACGGCCCCAGGTAACCCAGCACGGCCCCAGGTAACCCAGCACGGCCCCAGGTAACCCAGCACGGCCCCAGGTAGCCCAGCACGGCCCCAGGTAGCCCAGCTCGGCCCCAGGTAGCCCAGCACGGCCCCAGGTAGCCCAGCACGGCCCCGGGTAGCCCAGCACGGCCCCAGGTAGCCCAGCACGGCCCCGGGTAGCCCAGCACGGCCCCAGGTAGCCCAGCACGGCCCCGGGTAACCCAGCACGGCCCCAGTTAGCCCAGGTAGCCCAGCACGGCCCCGCCGCCGAGCCGCGCTCGCTGCCGGAGCGGCGGGGGAGGGCAGAGCCGCAGCCACTCCCAGGAACAGAAGTGAAATCGCCCCGACACTCGGACTGTCAATCAGCATTAATGGGCTATAAAAGCTCCCCGGCGGCACGGACGGCAATAGGCGGCAGCGGCGGGGCTGGAGCGGGGCACGGCACGGCACGGCACGGCACGGCACGGCACGGCACAGCACGGCGCGGTTCCTGCTCTGTGACCGAGGGAAAAACCGGGACAGGGGGCACGGGGAGGCAGGGACCGGCTCAACCTCTGCAACCGGCTCAGGACAGAACGTCTGCAGATATTTATAGATACTGAAGCAAAAACAACAGCCTCACCCTGAATAGAGCCTTTCTTAAAAAGAAGGTCCTAGCAATTCTATCTTATTTAAGCAATTTCCTGAGTCTAAGAATAGAAATGAGCTGCCTGGAAGGCACTGCAGGCTGAAATTTGGAGACATAGGCTGCTTTATTTTATTTTTCTAAATATAAAGACCTTTCGTTTGGATACTGATTTTTTATGTGGGTCTTTGCAGCGGAGGGATGTATTACTTTTAATTCTACTTTTTTTTTTTTTCCTTCTCTCTCTTAATTAAAAAAAAAAAAAAAAAAGCTTTCCAGTTAAAAAGCAAGGAAGCTGTTTTACCTGCGTGTGACAATCCCAGAGGACGCGGATCAAGAACCAGGGGAGTGACTTGGTCTTCTGCGCTACTTTTCTCCTACCCCCATTTTTTTTTTATAAGGGGGAGGGAAGGATTTTTCCAATCCAAGAACCTCTTGCCCCCAAGTTTTGGAAGGGGGCTGAAGACTTGTCACCCATCTGGGGGTGCATGAAGGGCATTGCTTTTCTTTCCCTGCCACCGTGGTTTTGTGGAGCTCTGGAAGAGAACTTTGCCCGGGAGAAGAGGATGATGTGGAAGTGGCTGGGCGCGCTGCTGCTGTTCCCGGTGCAGATGGTGTACCTGGTGGTGAAGGCTGCCGTGTGCCTGCTGCTGCCGCCCAAACTGCGGGACCTGTCCCGGGACAACGTGCTGGTCACCGGCGGGGGCCGCGGCATCGGCCGGCACCTGGCCCGGGAGTTCGCCAGGAGAGGAGCCAGGAAGGTGAGCAGGGATGGAGGGAGGGGCAGCGCCCACCTGCTGCCCCACCTCTGGTGGGATCGCTGGGAAAAGGTGAGAGAAGCTCTCCTCTTGCAGAACTGAGTCATGGCATCAGTTACAGCTCGCAAGGTGTCCTCTCCTCCTTCCCCGCGTCCTGCCTTTCCCCATCCATCCGTGAAAAGGCGATTCTGGGACAGATCCCCCTCGTGAATCCCCCTGTGCTGACAAAGGAGAGGGTTTTGCCTCAGCCCAGGTTTGCTGTGGCAGGGGAAGGAGAGCTGAGCGATGTGCGTGGAGCCACTGCTCACTTCCATTGCTGCTTCCTGGCACTGCTGGGCATGGGGGTCACAGGCAGTCAGGGTCATTTCCAGGGTGTCACCCCTGAGAAGAGGGGCAGGTGGCTCTGCCACAGTGGGGAGAAGTGTTCTCTTTCACCCTGCTGGGTTTTAATTCGTGAAATTAATTTTTTGTGCTTCTAAAGTGCCTTGTATTTCACTTTTGGACAGCCCAGAGCTGTTCAAGGGGGAAATGAATGAGAACCTGGCAAGAAGAGCACAGCCTGAGTGGAAGCTGTGGGATTATGTGCACGTTTCCTTTAGGAGAGAGGCTGAGAGTCGCTGGTCTGCACAGCAGCCCCCAAGTGCCAGTGTAGCTGGTGGGTCCATTCTCTTGCTCAGGATTTACCTTGAAACGTCCTGGTTTTGTAAACACAGGTGTGTTCCTATGTGTGAATCAGTCAGGGATACAGAAACACACATCCCTGAAATGATGTAGGATGGAAAGTTTCTTCTCCCCTTTTATTGGTAATTAAGGGGAGGACTGGTGAAATTAGACAGCTGCATAAATACTTCTCTGTGTGAGAGGATGAATGAGAATAAACAGAGAAGAAAGAAGAGGAAAAATACAGAATGAGAGGTTATTTAAAGAAAAAAAAATTGGACTTAGTTCAGGATAGGGTTTTATCACTTCCTTACACATGCATTACAGTTTTCTCTGTGTGGTACAGAGCTATTCTGGCATGTAACTCTGAGGTGTAAAATATGTCAGCGTTGAACTTTGATGTTTGTCTGTGTTTGTGTTTAAACATCATGTTGAGATTTACACATTCTGGGAGTCAGAGCAAACAAGTTGATTGACCTTTGGATCCAAGAAATTTGCTGAAGGTGTATTTATATTATCTGTTGGAATACCACGCTTCATTATTTATTTATTTAGAGCGGCTGGTTGCTATGCTGAGCGCTGGCATTAAAATGCTACCATTTCTACAGCACATTTAAGAGCTGTTTTGCTGCAGCTGAGCTGGGAGCTGAACAATGGCCCTGAGGAGCCAGGGGACAGGGGCCAAAAGGAGACAGGGCTGTTAGAGAGAGAGCTGAGGATGGAATTACTGTAAACACACAGACTGTATTCTGTCTGTATGTCCTATCTGCAACATCTCTATATACTGTAAAAGGAAAGAATACATAATACATGAGAATAATTATTGGGAAGCTTTGTACTCGTTTCATATGATGTTCTGAAATGCTCTGTGTTGCTAGTTATTGGTTAGAACTTTGGGGTGTTTTGCCTTTTGGGATGTTTTCATGTGCATCATCAAGGTGTTTAAGTCTTTGCATTGACTCAATTTGAGTTAGATGTTCTTTTCAGTTATATCATGGTGTCCAGTGAGTCACATTTGGCACTCAGCAAGTTCTGATTCCCCTGGTAGTGGCACTGCCTGCCAGCCTGGGGTGAGAGCACCAAAGTTGGCTTCATCTCCTTAGTAGTTTTAATGCCAATTTTACCTGCGTGTGGTAGTTTCCATTCCCTTTGCTGTGAGATTTCATTTCTTTCCTGCTTCTGTGCTCAACCCTAAATTAGTGGAGTACCATGCACCATGCACTGCCTTCTGCTTGGCACTCCAATTTTACGCTTTGCCTTTGACAATCAAAAAGAAAAAGCCTTGGAGTGTCTAGCAAGTCATCTTTTGATAAGGCCTGTGAAAGCTGGCTGTTTTTCTCTTTTTACACTGTAAACTGCCTTACAGTAATATGCAACACTTGAATTATTGATCATAATTAAAGCTTAGAACACATTCTGATTATCCAATGGTGTAGTCACCATATTCCAAGTTTAGAAAAAGACTTCCAGCAAAGGTCTGGGATTCTGGGGCCAAGCCCAGGCTGCCATGGAGGTGTTGGCAGCAGTGCCAGGGTTCAGGCTCTGGTGGAGGGTGTGCAGTGTGTCCTGGCCAAGTGCTCCCAGCGCCTGCGCACACAGACATAGTGGCGGGGTTTTGGAGGTAGGCGGCGATATATAACCATATTTTTGAGATTAGAATCTTCAGAAAGATAAGTTAGTTGGGACTGTGAGGATGTGAAACTTCTCTGGTAATTAGACTGGATGGGATTTCATCTTGCACTCAGTTTCAGAGGCTGGTTTTGTTGCTCACGAGTGAGATGTATCGGAGCCGTTTTCAAGCAAGGTGGCAAATGTTGTATTTCACAAGATTATGAGTTGTCACATCTGCAACTTCTCTACTGTAAAATTTGAAGCTGTGAAGATGACAAGAAATAAATCCCAAAAGGGTTTATGCAAATGGACATACAATGTCTTGTGCTTGATTGATGAGCATGGAGATGAAAATTCTCAATCTACTGGAATGGAAGTCTCTTGGGCATCATCTTGTAAATTCATCCTGATTCCCATTCTTTGCCCCCATTGCTCTGCCATTGTGCCTCAAATGTGACTTAGATAAATGTCTAGGATACAATTTCTTCTCAAGTAATGTTTCTTTTTTCAAAGTTGTTGTTGGCTTCTGAAGAAATAGCCAATAAGGGCACAAAGCTGTGCCAGTTCTATTTGCAGTTTCAGAAGTGTATGTTGGTTTTTTTCAATTAAGACTGCCAGCAATTTTTAGGCAATGAGAGACTTTAATCATCAGATCATCCCTGTTCAAGTGTGCACTGGGAGGTCAGAGGATCCATACTCAGTTTGTAATTTCAAGTAGTTGTCAAGAACTACTTAGTCCTGGGAGGCGCTGTGTATTGAAATGCTTCCTGGAGCACTTCTGGAAAAAGCCAAGAGCATGTGAATGAGCTGTATGCAGGGATGAAGTGGTTACAGATGATCCAGGACATGTTAGTGTTATTATGAGGGATGAACAGCACTGACTTTTCTCCGGAAGTGTTCAAGTGTTGTAATCCAACTTCCCAGAGATGTGTCCAGATTCATAAGTGCCGGCTGAGAAGCTACTTTGCTGTGGCTGAAACGCTGGAGAAATTAAATTCCTGCTTTCAGTCCCTTCTTGGCTGCTTGCAAAATTCAAAATTCTCACTTTTGCTTGCTTTAACTTTGAGAATTTGACTGTACCTTAAAAGTATTTGGTCAGTGAAGCATCACCTCTGCCTCAGTCTCACACACTGGTAGCTCTGTCAAGGCTCAGAGCTGTTGCTACTCTGGTGAGCCAAAATGGCAGAGAATGGCTGTGTTAATGAAATGGGAGAAGGAGAGACTTTTATGAGTTTATGATTTAATGCCTATGAAATAAAAATCCACTTCCAAAGCCTAACAGTGTTTTGCAAAGACTGCACTGTATAATCCAGTTAATATTGGAAAGACTGGCCCCTTTGAACAGTATTTCTTGTGTTGGAGAACAGCCCTCAGCAGATGTGAGCAGTCAGGGGGTGTAGGGGCTGAATGGGTTCATTCACTGCTCAGTAAAGTGGGAAACTGCCTGGTTTCCTCAAAGCCATTTGCTTTTCCTACACAAGTTTCAGTATAGTGCCTTTGCCAGGAAGTTTTCAGTCCTGGTTTTGATAGTCTCTAGTGAAGAAGTTTTGATTCCTATGTCTTTTCTATGTTTTGATCTTTGTTAGGTTTTCTTTTAGAAAACTTTGATCTCTAAAAATTTTCCTTGTCATTTTAATTTACTTTGTTCACAGATTATCTAATTTGAGGTATGACTAACCAGGAAAGGGATGCTTGGTTCTTAGGCATTCTGCATTGTTAAATGTCAACAAAACCTAATAAAAGTAACTGAAAAAGATGTTAATAATAGGACTGAAACAGATTCCCCAGCTTTAGTATGTAATTTAGTATTCTTGTTTATCTGACAGTTACTTTGGAAGAGTTTCAAGGGCCTTTCCAGAAAAACCCAACAGCCCTGAAATCTCAACTGTTCTTTCCATCGGTATTTTCACAGCATTTTTCAAAGTCAGACCTCAGTGTCTACATTTTGGAAGATTTGTTGTTGTTTGGTTGTGCTGTCCCCTTTCAGTTCAGTGATAGCTGGGATGGGAAGAAGTTGAGGGAGGAAGTAGCACCAAGGAAGGGATGGATGAGAACTGTGCAAGCCCACACTGCTGCTGGAACCTGGAGTTTCCCTCAGTGTCTCTCCAACAGAACTGAAAACCTCAGAGGAATTACAAGTGCTCGAAAGCCTTGTATAACTGGAGGGGTTTAGCTGATTAAGATTTGAGGCTATTTTGTGTTTAGGCTGAGAGTATTGGAGAGAGGTTATGTAAAGAAAATGGTATCAGGTCTTAGAATTTAGCTGTGTATTCCCAGTAATGGAAAATTTGGCAAGTTTTGAGATGAGTTTATCAATGGCATGCTCCTCCCACACAAATTGCATCTGTAGGTGTATGAATATTTCACTTTGGTCTTTATGAATCACATTAAGATATTAGTTCACAGATTTCACAGACTACTCTGAGTTGGAAGAGACCTCACAAGGATTATCGAGTCCAACTCTTAAGTGAATGGCCCATATATTATTGTCCTGATTTGTATGAATTAGTATATACCTTCTAAAAGCTTCTTTAAAGCACATACCAATGCTGTATGATCAAGGATTAACTGCACTGTGACTAGAGCTGGATATTAAATTAAAACAAATCTCCAGAAGTGAGGGCAGAAGAAGAACAGCCACTGCTGCTGTTTCAGAGCTGTGACTTTTTCTGAGGTGCAGGACAAAAGCTATGAGTGTCTCCCATGAATCCTGTAAGAATTCTTATTCCAAA